TTAGGGCTTGGAGTTTAGGGTTTAGTCTGGGCTGGTTTACGGTTTAAGGTTTGGGGCTTGTCGGGGGTTCGCTTCATGCTCTGGCTGAAATTCAACAACATCAACCCAACCACTCCAAAAACACAGTAGGCAAATGAAACCCCGAGTTTATGACTTCCCTTTCTTTCGGGGCCGTCATTTTCACATTGAGGAAAGGGAACAGCAATCAGTCACTTACTGTTTGCGGGGTTTAATCCCCAGAGAAGAGACTACTTCTGTTCTGGAGCATTCTACTTGCAACATTGGCCCTAAAACCCTGAACCTTAAAACCCTAAAACCCTAAACCCGGAGCATTCTACTTGCAACATTCGACCACGGGTCAGCTCTTGCAAGCACTTCTGCCCGCGGCCATCGATCAGGTACATGAAGCCTTTGCCTTCGAGCCAGGCTACCCATATTTAGGGTTTATGGTTTTAGGGGTTTAGGGTTTAGGGTCTACTGGTACCAGCTAAGCATGTATAAGGTTCAACATGGGTCAAGGAACAGTAGCCCTGTGGGCAAGTTGGGTGAAATGTATGCCAAACCCTAAACCTCAAACCCTAGACTACCCTCTAATATACCCTAAATACTCACTATTAAGGGGACCACAAGGGATCTAATGAAGGGCACTTGGGCGTCCTGGTGACCCTGTCGAGGGTTTGGGGCGTCTACCTTAACCCGTGAACCCTCCGATCGGTAGCTGGGCATCTAAGGTTGGCCTAAACCATAAACCCTCAATCCCTAAACTAAGCCTGACGCCCGAAAGCTTATAAAACCTTAAAGCCGGAGCTGTAAACCGCCAAAGCTCCTTTCGAGTATGGCTTTTGCTAAAAACTCGAGAAGAACGTCAAGCGGCACTATTGGGGTTCTTTGAGGGTTCCGTATATCAGGGTATCAAAAGGGTTCTATAGGATTTAGGATCTAAGGTTTGGGGTTTAGGGGAACGGGATGTTGAGATTTAGCGGGGTTGTAAGGTTGTCTCGTGCTTGCTGAAAGCTTAAAATGTAGGGGTGGTTTCTGGCTTCTTGGCCTGAAAGTTGAAGCGTTTAGGGTTTAGGGTTTAGGGTTTAGGGTTTAGGGTTTAGGGGTTTAGGGTTTAGGGTTTAGGGTCTAGAGTTTAGGGGGTAGGGTACCCTAAAAGCTAAACCCTAAGTTTAGGGGTTTAGGCTTCAAGTTTCTGGATGCAGGGTTCACTTTCGTCTTCACGCTATGGGTTGGCCTTAGTTTGGATTTAGGGCGTAAGTTTCGGGATGACTTGCTTCTTTCGGAGCGGTACGGCTGATGCTATAAACCCTGCATTACCCATAAGAAGGACTACACCATAACTCCCATAGCTTAGAGTCCTTATAACCCTAAACCCAAACCCCTAAACCCTAAACCCGAAACAGATAAGGTAATGCAGGATTTGTATCATCCACAGTATGGCTGCTTCAGGGCTCGGGTTTAGGGTTTAGGGGTTTAGGCTTTAGGGTTTCGGGGTTTAGGGTTTAGGGTTTGGGGGGTTTAGGGTTTAGGGTTTGGGGGCTTAGGGTTTTTTGGGTTTAGGGGTTTGGGTTTAGGGTTTATAGGAAGGCGGCTGAGAGGTTCGAGTTTAGAATTTGGGGTTGGGAAGCATCGGGCATCTCAGCCGAATTCGGGCTTTGACCGCTTGGCATTTACGGGTGCCTTATACGGGCTTGGCAACTGTAATAGGTTTCTGGTGACCTGTTCCAGGCAACCAAAGTTAAACAGGGAGCCTCAAACCATGCACAAGACTCTGTTCATCTCTGTTCTATGGCTTTCGGCGTGGAGTCGGAACTTGCGATACGGATGGCTCAACGACTACGACGCTCCCAGTTTTCAGGAGGCGGCCGGCCCTGCTTCTTCGAATTGCTCCAGGCTGCCTTGGCCAAACCTTCCTTTTGGGTCCGATAAAACCCTAAACAATAAACCCTATAAACCCCTAAACATCCTAAACCCTATAAAACCCTAAACCCTATAAACCCCTAAACCCTGCACCCTATTAAACCCTAAACCCTAAACCCTGTAAACCCCTAAACCCTGAACCTGAATCTTTGCTTCCAGCCAGGCCTGGAAAGTTATGATAGGGTTTAGGGTTTGGGGTTTAGGGTTTAGCCTATGATAGCAAATGCTCGCGAAGACACGTGCATCTGGACCTGGGCCAACTGAACGTGAACCGTGTCACCAGGCTCAACGCGAGCCCTTTTCACTGTGGCACCTGCATCAAGTATCCCAGAGGGTCCATATATACTACCATGATGGAATTACGTCCCAAAAGACCACCCCTAATATGGTTTTGGGGACCTAATTCCATAATAGTAGTAGAAATGGACCCTCTTGATATGCTTTCTTCAGCGTTCAGCTGCACCGTCTCTGCATTTGCGCTGGCTGGGAGTTTCCGAAAATTAGGGCACCTTATTTTGGGGTCCTTATAATAGGGATCCTATTATTTAGGGTACCATATTAGGGTCCCCTATTTTTGGAAACCCCCATATGATGCTTCAGTTGTTCAAAGTCCGAAATGACAGACCTTATAGCCGATAACTTAAATCCCAGTCCCAACATTGCGTTCATATTCCGCAGGAGCCACGCCCTACACTGCAAACTAAAAGGGAGTTTTAGGGGACCCTAATATAGTACCCTAAATAGTAGGATCCTTATTATAAGGACCCCAAACAGGTACCCCTCATTTTCGGAAACTCCCAAATAAGCTTATAAGTACCACAACCCCCAATCTGTGTAAGTCTAGCCCTAAAACCTCCTGAAGCCCCGAACTGAAAGCCTCCAACCCAAACCACAGACCCTTTAGGGTTTAGGGTTTAGGGTTTAGGGGTTTAGGGTTTAGGGTTTAGGGGTTTAGGGGTTTAGGGTTTAGGGTTTTAGGGTTGAGGGAACACGGGGTTTAGGGTTTGTAGGGCTTGCCGGGCTTGTGGCTTAGAGCAGGCTGTACTAACTACTAAAGGGTAATTGATAGGAACCCCTTAGGGGAGCTATTTTTTGGATGTTCCCAGTGGTCTGCGTATACTAATAGCTACGAATAACCCAAGGCCGGGTGCAGGGATTAGGCTTAAGAGTGTGGGGTTCCTGAACCCTAAACCCTAAACCCTGATCTAGCGGCCTTAACAAGTAGAATAGGGTGTTGGGCTCCTTTCTAGTCTCTTTACAGTAATAGTAAGGAACCCTAAAAGTAATATTGGTACCCTAGACCCTACACCCTGAACCCTAAACCCTAAACCCTAAAACCGAAGCCCTAAGCCCGAAAGGTCGCACCTGGGTCGTAGCTCGCAGGATCCGGTGTCTTCTCCAGCACCTGGGTTGCACCACAAAGGGCTTTAGTGTTTAGGGTTTGGGGTTTAGGGTAGTGTTCAATAATAGGATATGATCAGAACAAGATACTATGACAATATACTATGATGACGTGCTGAAACTATAAAGAATATTATTCTTTAGTTGCACATTTCAGACAGAATCTGCAGGCCTTGGCTATGGTTTCGGACCCGCAAACCCTAAATCCTGAATCAATGAACCCTTACCACTAAACCCTACGCCGAAACCCGCAACCCCTTTATGTGAGGGACCTACCCCATTAAACATGTAGGCTCGTTCTGTTTTGGTCGTGTAGGTTTTAAGGCTTCGGTGTAAACAAACACCCTGCTATCCAAGGCTCTTAGGAGATGTTGCGCCTGAGTGTAAAGACCGTAAAACCCAAACCCCCCAAACCCGGAACCCTAAACCCCCAAACCCTACACGCTAAACCCTGAACCCTCATCCCCCCCATTCCCTTCGATGCCAAACCCTAACCCTATACCCTAAACCCTAAACCCTAACCCTATAAACCTGAGACCCCGGGACCTTAGGGTCTAGGGTTTGGGAGTTTAGGGTTTAGGGTTTGGGGGTTTAGAAGTTTTGGGTTTATGGTTTGGGGTTTTCACAAATCCGAGCCACCTTCACCTTCCAACCTCTTTGCGACAGCATCAATGCCGCAGCTAAGCCAGCGGGACCTGCGCCGACCACGACGGCCTGTGTGCAGGGTCTTGAATGCTGCCAATGTATCCCAAACTGTCTGCCTTTGCATGGGGGTAAACACGGAAACCTAAACGCCGCCTTGGGTGGCCGCGGGAAACACCCAGATAGTACAAAGTAGACTTGGAGAGTCATGGGACTTAGTAAGGCAGGTTGTGAATACCTTAATTGGGGTTATATCTATTTATACGCGTAGTTATCTTATTCATAACCTTACTTACTAAGTCCCATGATCCTCCAAGGACCCTGAACCCTAAACCCAAACCCCTAAACCCCAAATTCAGCGCTTGGTAAGTGCGTCGACCTGTTTTTGTTCGGATCCTCCGCTGATCCCTGAACCCTCAGAAGCCTCTAAAGCCCTTGCTGGAACCCGTGTAGAGCCCCTAGAACCCCCGGTAATGAAGCCCTTGATTTTGGCTGCCTTACCTCAAGGGACTCAAGGGTCCATGTACCCAAACAGCATAGACTTTGGCCTTAAAGTAGTCCCTATATGGGTACTTTGGGGCCAAAGTATATACTATTTGGGTACATGGAACCTTAGGGTTAGTTTCTTCTAGGACTTCAAAGATAGCATAGGTCATCAACAACACTGTACTACATTCTGGGATCTTGTCATGAGAAGTCTTGTGAATGGCTTTATTTGTTTAGGGTTTAGGGTTAAGGGGTTTAGGGTAGGGGTTTTGGGTTTAGGGTTTAGTCTTTTGAATGGCTTCGTTTCAGGAGTTTTGGGCTTACTTGGAGGATCATGGGACTTAGTAAGGTTATAAACAGGGTAACTACACTTATAAACAGTTATAACCCCTATTAAGGTACTTAGAACCTACCTTACTAAGTCCAATGACCCTGCAAGTAGGGTGTGCAATGACTCAATAGCTTGGTGTGTCTGATCCTTTTAAGAGGGAGGCGAGTCGCAACAGTCACCGGAGAGCAGGGTGTGCTATGTCGTTGTTAACTAACACTCAAACCCTAAACCCTAAACCCTAAACCCTAAACCCTAAACCCTAAACCTCAAACCCTCACTCCTCAGACCCTTGTAAGCCCCCCCTTGTTCTTTTACCTTTTGAGGATTCTTTAAGGAACATGAATCCTGGACCCTGAGACCCTAATCCTAAACCGGCTTGAGTCTACCGGGTGCTCCAAGATGTGCTTACAACATACAGTGCGTATGGCCTGTTTTCGGCGAAAAGCTCTTGCAGTTCGCTGGGTGGGCGGGGTATGGGTACGGATTTAGGAATTTTCTTTTAGGGCTTTAGCTTTCCCTGGCGGAACGCCCCAGGCTTCTGAGCCGCGATGACTGCTAGCCCTGAACATCTGGGTCTGTCCTCCTGTTTTCTGGGGCGGTTCAGGGTTTATAGGGTTTGGTGTACTCCTTGCGGTCAAGAGCCTCTGTTGTCGGGCTCACAGTACCCTTTGCTGGCATCGATATTTCAGCTCTTTCCCCGACCCCTCGGGCCATTGTCACACATGATGTCATCGTTTGCCGCTACATTTCGTGGCTGGAACTGCTTCCATGGCTGCGTCGTGCGTAGCTCACCTTTGCGTTGCTTGTTTTGCCAGAGTTTTGGCAAAGCGCCCTCTGCGAAAAGTGACAAGCCCCTCTTTTCTTGCTAGCGCTTGAGACAACAAAGGCCACGGACAAGCACTCGTGTGCACACTATGCCAGATAATTACATGCCTTATGCTGGAAACTTTAGTCAGATGAGTGTAGGACTTAACGCTTGCGCTGGGTTGCTGGTCAAGAACTTAGTTTAGGTTAGCCTAATGTGACATAGTAAATAATCGGGTCTCCGGATTATGATAGTAACATAATCTGAATCCCTTAACAGCAACTTAATAAGCCCTTTGGTAGCCTAAACCCTAAACCCTAAACCTCTAAACCCATAAACCCCTAAACCCTAAACCCCTAAACCCCTAAACCCCTAAACCCCTAAACCCCTAGACCCTAAACCCTAAACCCCTAAACCCTAAACCTCTAAACCCATAAACCCCTAAATCCTAAACCTCTAAACCCATAAACCCCTAAACCCCTAAACCCTAAACCCCTGAACCCCTGAACCCCTAAACCCTCCGTGTTGGCCTCCAGGGGGGTACCCGTGGCGTCTCCGGTTGCGGCCAGCTTGCAGCGCCGACCCCTGCTGGTCATTTTATCTAAGATCCCCGAAGGAGAAGGGAGCTTGGCAGGTTGGGATATAGGGTTTAGGGTTTAGGGGTTTAGGGTTTAGGGGTTTAGGGTTTAGGGGTTTAGGGTTTAGGGGTTTAGGGGTTTAGGGTCAGGTATTAGGGTTTAGGGAATCCCAAGTACGCTAAACCCCAAACCCTACTACCCTATAGGATTAAAAAGGGTTTCTGTTTTGGTGTTGGGTAGTCCTTTAAGGCACCTAAGACCCCGACCCCGTAAAAGGAAAAAGGACCCACTGCGAGACCTAGTTATTGGGTTTACATTAGCATTCTAAACCCTAAACCCTAA